TGAGCCCTCCGTGTTGATTCAAAAACTACCGCGCACCAGAAAGCCGACTGGTGCTTGGCCATTGGATAGTATAATAAGAACTGGATACATGCAGTAGGGAGGCGGCCTCATATCATCTCTTCTATGAGAGTTGCCATGGCGCGCATGAATGACAAATGGCCCAACTTTTGAGAGAGCGGATAGCGGCAAAGATTAATCACCACGGTCAATGCCTGAGAATGGTACCACGTATGTTGCACTCATAAAGCATGCTCAACTTAACTCACGGACCGCCAATAAAGGCTCGTCACATCAAGGCACAGTGAATTTGCGTACACGTAACAGCACCGCCGCGATGTTTCATGAATTGCAATGGTACTTTTGGATTTTATATTAACCCGAGGCGGCCAGTTAAGCAGCTAGCGGCTAGCTAGTAAATTAATGCTAAGTTACACATCAATCGTTATGTACTTTTATATTACGCTGACATCAGGATCTAGTGATATCCAAGCAACAGAGCTTTCATTTAGCATAGATACTTGTGTGGGTTGTTCATGAAACCACTTGGTAATATATAAAAATGTATATGTTGAAGCCTGATGCTATGCTAAATGCTAATTTCTACCTGAAATGCTTATGTATTTTTAATTACATTTTCGTAAAGCTTTCACTTTTTCAGCGGAATAAATATTATAACTGGTTTTGTTCAGCATTGCCAGCTTCACTGTTGAGCGTGATGTTGTGCCCAGCATTCTCCTGTCCTGTGTTCTGAAATCAAAATGTGGATAAGAATAAAACAACACTAAAATAAACACTACAATACAACTTGTAAAACTTTTGAAAAAACACAAGGTTGTTCATTTGTGTGTATACATATACAACACAGGCAATATACATATATATATACAATTATAATTAATACAACTGTTAAATTTGATTAGAGCTTTGACACATATCTTTATTGATATATGTATAAATATGACGACTTAATATATAGTTGGCCTAATAGCAAACAGCTACGTTCAACTCTTTTAATGGTATATTGCAAGTGCAATAAGAAGCTACAGGGACGTTAATCTACGTCGGTAATATTAACTTTATTTAATACAACATTTACGGTACAAGATTTACAACATACAGCCCATGTAGTATCATATTTTACAAATGATGAATTACAGTAAACATGTGCAATATATCCATTATTACAGCTCCGTGGGATGGCACTAAGGCGATATGGTCCGTTGTTATTGTGCATCCATGGGTAAAGACAAACTAGGAGGGCCGGGGGGTGGTGGGCGCCGAGGGGTAGGCGGGGAGTGGAGGTTGTAGGATGGTCATACTTGCAAACTGATATCGGGAATAATTTGTTAGCATACTTGCGCGGTAGATTGGGGCCCTGGCGCGGGGGCTGCGTACACTTACAAGTNGGATACGGTTCGGAGCTTGTGCCTGATAAGCACCGTTTTTTCCTGTTCACACCGCAGCGGAGCCGGCTCTTTTCCCCTAAAACCGGTTCTTACCAAGCTCGAAAGAGCTTGGTAAGAACCGGTTTTAGGGGAAAAGAGCCGGCTCCGCTGCGGTGTGAACAGGAAAAAACGGTGCTTATCAGGCACAAGCTCCGAACCGTATCCGGTTCGACCTGGCTGTGTGACCATTGTGTGACTGACCCGAGCTTGCACCTCCTCGTTCTGATAGCTCCGCCCCTTCGCTCCAACCCCCCTTCCTCCCCATGTTCCTCCCCCCACATCTACAGGTGGAAATTACTTTTGCGACACATTCATCGCAAGAAGTGTAGCAAAAGTCAAGGCCGCAGATTCGTCGATGTATACTGCCACAGAGCAGATTCGTGAAGTGTAAATGTGTGCACACAAGCTCCGATTTTCTGAGTGCTCAAATCAGGTTTTACATGCTCTCGCATTTTGCACCATATCTACCTTCATACATGTTGGCGTTAGGTTGTCTTTTTTAGTAATTTTGTAGTCAGAAAGAACAAAATGTATGTCAAAGACTCGAAAGATAAAGAATGGAGGAGGAAGACAGAACATTGAGCACTTAGGAACGAATTGAAAGACAAAAAGGATGCAAGGTGGTACAAAAGGAAAGAGGCTTAACAAAGAGGGATGGATAGTCCTACTGTTAATCCACCAAAATAAACATGTGTATGCAGAAGCCAAATGGTAGCAGCACTTAGTGGGTTTGTCTTTTGGGAAAGGAGTTTAAGAGAGCAAAAAGTAGAGGGGAGAAAGTACAAAAGAAGCAATGAAAAGCATAGTAAAGGATGGAAAAAAGGGGATTTAAAGAAAAGAGTGCCAGGGAAATCAGAGAAAGTAGAAAAGGAGAGGAAAGAAGTTAAAGAGCTCAGAATCCGCTGTAATGGTCAATCTCTTTGTGACTCTTTTGTGACCTTTGTGATCCTGAGAGTAGCTGAAGCTCAAACAGCTGAAAGAATCAAATCAGCTCAAACCACCTCCTGGTCCCTCAGGTCACATTGTCAGTGTTATGTCAAACTCCTCTTCTGCTGTGACGGCTCCACACCTCCTGAACTTTATCTACTGTCACACAAAGACAGCCGAGACTAATCTATAACATTAATTATTCAGCATTATTGTGCTGAAACTCCTCCTTTTGATCATCTATGGTGATGATCTGGTGAGATTGGTTAGAGATTGATTTTATGAACCCTTTGTATCTAACTATGGATGACAATGTAACCCTGTCGGTCCGTCCAATTTGATAGACTCCACAACTCTTTGATGTATTGCCATGTTCCCCAGATGATTAGTCATTATGTAGTTTTCACTCACGTAGTACTCCATCCAGCTCCACTATGAGGGCAAAAGTGTATTTACTGCATTATTTTTGGCTAATGAGTAAATACCAACAAACATTACCACTACAGCCTCAGATCTAATTTGTGTCTACTGCTTGGTAGCAGATGTAAGCATGCTAACACTGTAAAATAACTTGGTACACACAATTGCCTTAATAATGTAATGTAAAACAAACAGGGCTAACACCTGAAAACAAGTTTAAAATATGTTTTATTTCATAACCATCTACTTTCTGGTTAGTCTTTGTTGTGAATCAGTGAGCCTTATCTCACCTGCACCACTTTCCCCTGTGGGCTCTCAGAGAAGACCAGGGCCTGGTTGTAGAGAGGGTCCAGAGACTTCCTCACTGACTTGGTCTTCTTCTTGGCCACACAATTCCCGTTCTCCAGGAGGTAAACCTTGATGTAGGCCGCTGAAACGACAGCAGTCTGAAAGGTTAAACCTCAACTTACCCCTTCAGAGTTTTCTGCGACGCCCTTACACAGAGTCATCAGCAACTGTTGAGGTTTATTCTGTCAGGTTTAGAGCTGGTTTGTTTGAGATTGCAGTAGAGTAGAACACGGTACAGTTCATTTTTATTTCTTTTTTTTTCATTTAGTTCAGTATAAAAGAGTAAAATGCACAAGGTCAGTAGGAGACTAGAATAGAGAGGAAACTCTTGAGGGAGTGATTCAACCTGCAAGGTGAGGGTCATATAACGGATGGGGGCTCCTTTCTGGCTGTTCTGCAGGGTTATGATGGTTGTGGTACAAACCTTGTAGCTTGCATTCCAGAATTAAGTGAAGAGGTACAATACAAGACTGTCCTTTAAACAAGGGTAAACATGTCTGTTAATGCGAAAAGGAACTGTCAGCCACAGATTATAAGACAAATACAAAAGAAGGTTAAGCTAACCTTCCTCTACAAAAATCTAATTTGACCCACAAGTATTTATGCAAACTTTCACAAAATTAAATATACACAGTTCCCTTTAAAATCTCCACTAAGGACATTATGTTATTGGCTCTCTATGCGTTTGTCTGTTTTTTTTGTTTGTATTTAATTTATGTCAGCACATTAAGTAAAACTACCGGTCCGCTTTTTTGGAAACTTGGAGGAAAGGTAATGCATGGACAAAGGAGTAACCCCATTAAATGTCAGCATTAGATTAATTAATCCAAATTACAGAGTGGATGGACATATAATTTCTGCTGTATTTTTGTTGTGTACTAACAATCTAAACAAATATTAACCTTTCTCGAAAATATAGGTCTTTAAGTCGTGACAGCTCTAAAACAGATATCAATTTGAGTTGTTTAAACGCTCCTAGCAATAAAATACAACACATCTTTTTAGAATACATGTTGTTACGACCCTTTAACTGTCAAAGAGCACAATAATTGACCCTTGTCTTCTGAGTGCCATTCTTTTACTAGAATAACCACTAATAACTCAAACACTTTTGGAACAAACACTTTGTTTTAAGAGAATATATGAACTTCATTTAATCTCTTTGTTTCTCTTCAATGTTTCACACTTATTTGCGCCGTTCGTTTCTCTCTCCTCCGACTTTTGTTTGAGCTCTGCTCTGTTCTTATCTTTTTTCGCTCTCATAGTTTTTCCCAGATGTTTTTTTGATGTTCTTTATTTGCTGACATTGTTTGTGTTCTTATGTAATTAGGATCAAGGAATGGTTTAATATTATGCAAGCGAGTGGAGCTATAATCAGATTAATAGCTTGTTGTTACACAATACAACTTGCAGCATGATAAAGATTTAAAAAAAGAACAACCATGAAGACATCATGCCTTCATGCTTCAATTTAGTTTGGCCATTGCACATCACTCACAGAGCAGAAAGAGATAAAGGTTAACTGAATAATTAATTAACTTGCTTATTGCTCGCTTGATCGATTTAGTGCCAGGGTGATTTATTGCTGGGCGGACAACCCATATTAACAGCTCAAGTACAATCTGATTATGATATATTTAAGGTAAACTTATGCACAAAGCTGAGAGTTAGATGTAGTTCGTATGGGCCGGTGTCCACGTAGCGCCTTTTGTCCGCAGCACCCACCATCTTTTTTCTAAACGCGCCGTCTTTTTTGTGCGGCTGTTCTGAGCGCTCCATGTTGAAATATTTAAACTTTCCAAAAAAAACTGATAGAAGTTGCATGAAAAGCTTGTTTGGGCCTTATCGGTCAGACAAAAACAAACAACAATCATAACAAAGACAAAAAGATTTTTTGGACTAAATCGGACGGGTGGACACCGGATGTTGCTGCCGGTGAATTTGTGTCTTTTATCGTCCCCTTCCCTCACTATATGGCTGTCAGACAGAGCAGTGACAAACTCATACATACAAGAAAAAAAAATAGCACGACCAGATGATGGAGTAGATAGAATTATAGCTAGCAAGCTATTTCCTGATTGTTGTACGATCAATTTCAAAGCATTTTTAAAACACACTCCTAACCTGACCATATTTAACCTTGCTGATAGGACATTTTTAAAATACAGATACTACAGAGTAGCATATACAAATCAGAGCAACATGCTGCCTGTTTCTCTGCAGTAATGTAGATCTTACTTATTCATCAGATCACCTCCTTCTGCTGGGTGTGTTAACTCCCTGAACACTGGAAACACAATTTCCTCCTTTACACTCGTGCATCTTTCATGTCATAACTGTGTTTTTGTAGGATATATCCCAATAGGTTTTAAATGTCAGCTGCAGGCGGGTCTGTTTGTCAGGAGCTGATGCTATTTGCTGTCTTGTGGTACATTCATGTTCTATGGAAACCTTGATTACCTAAGACATAGCTGACACTGGATGAACAATAGGGTAAATGTAATTTGGTGCTTTGAGCAACTGACGTTTTGAGGAAGAAAAGTGACTTCCTGTAGAAAACAATGCTTTTGATTTCTCTGAAAACACCATTACAGTTTATTACAACATTTATATGTATTTTTGTTATTACTGGCTGCTACTTAAATACTTTTTTGTGCTTAATTATACTGCTACTTGTTTTGTTTATCCATGTGTAATTTATTGCATTATATCTGCACTGTGCCTTCGCTGTAACAATGTACATGTCCCAGCTTCGGGACGGATAAAGGGTTTCTGATTGTGATTCTGATGGTGGTGTGTTACCTGGAGGTCCCTTTGAACCTGGTTTCATGGTGAGTCCTCTGGCCTGGATGACCTCCACCTCCAGACCTCCGTTCCTCTCCAGCAGACCGATCTCTATGTCACCTAGAAAAATAATGTTTTAGGGAGTTGAATGTGTTTATCTATCTTTATTCAAAATGCATGACCTCATATGGTGATAAAGTTCTGTCGGAAAGATAAGTGAGGAAAAATTGTGAAAAACAGTAGTATGCTAGCATTATAAACCAATAACCCGTTTCCATACATGCGTTTTTGTGTCAGAGCCTTGTTAATTCAAAGAACAAGCAACTAAATATGCAACCGCTTCTTCAACAAATTCCATCACTGGAAATAATTCAGATTTGAAGGAAAAAGGTTTGGATGGGTTTCTATGAAAGGTTTTAGAACTAGAAAAATCTGTTCGCGTGATACTCATTAGTATGAGACGTGGCTCCACCTGGGGTTTTGAACACTTAACAATGATTTTAATAATGAGTGACAGTATTTGAACTTAAGAATACATCCTTCAAGTTGTTTTCTGCAGACTGCAGAGACCTTTTTGAGATGTACAGGAAAAGAGCAAATGTTGACAACTAGAGAAGTCAAAGATGTCACAGTACTGTCTAGAGAGCACATGGCACTTGTTGCAACCTTGAAGCACTTCAATGTCTGTCTATAGTTTTTGAATGAACAAGACGAAATTAATAATACAACATAACCCTTTCTTTGTTGCGCGTCTCTCTCAGGTACGTGTATTGATATATTAACATCACGTGAGTCTTGGTTTAATTAACTTGAGCCTGCTTAAAATAAATAGGAGTTTGTCATTCAAAACTAGTATTTTAGCCTCTTTTGGCTCATTTTTAAAATGTAATCTTAACTGCAGAAAGTAGAATGGACATTGAACTCTGCCAATTCAATTCAACTTGTTCAACAGAAAGTGACATTGTTTGGTGAAAAAAAGTTAAAGTTATCGCACGGCTACAATTGTAAAACTTCCAATGGCAGATTTTTATAAAATGGCTGCCACTTCCTCTTCTGATTATATTGGAATTCTACAAAATTATTAAATGTACTATGTCAACAGATTAAATGTTTTTATTATTATGTTAGTTGTAAGCAATAATAATAATTTGAACCTAATATTTAGTATTTCAACTTAATATTATTGCTTTCAACTAACCTAATAAAATTATGTGTAATCTGTTTACATAAAAAGTCAATATTTCATTTTTGTTCGGTCCACCTTTGTTTCCAGCTGCATTACCCGCTGTTCATAGCAATTAAACCATGATAAATGAACTGTACCAAACAACAAAGTTAAAAGGTTGCAGGTAAAGAGAGTTGTGTGCTATTTTCCACTCACTGGAAAGTTTTCAGCAAAACATTTCCAGAATGACGATTGCATTTCTTTGAGAGTGACAGATGACAGCCAAGTTATTCTTGGTCCTCTGACATCAGATAAAGTGGGCCTGGACAGCAGGTTTGGAGCTGAGCGGGTCCAGCCAGTGCCACTGTTGTCGGGCCAAGGACACTCTCTGGCTGCCAGCGAGGAAACTGACCCACTTACAGTAGATCACTGCTTTGGAGGACGGGCTGTATACAATAAATCCACTATACGGCCTGGATATGAATAAGTGCAGGGGTCGATGAGAAACACCCTGAGGTGGAACACAGCTCTGATTTACGAGGCACTTTTTTTGCCAGTGTGCAATGATTTCAGCAGTTTTATGAGGAAATAAGCTGTTTTCTTTTCAATTTAAAAACGTGTTTTTATGGGTAGAGTTTGATAGGATTTTACAGAGTAGAGGTTATAGTTGTGACCCCAGAATGTGAGTAATTTCCTTCCTTACTTAGAGATAAGAAAATAAAGACAGATGGATTAAGTTTTTGCGGAAGCATCAGAGATGAACTGGTGAGACTCCGTTGTTGCTCGAAGGGAAAAAAGGCTTTGCAAAATGTTTGTAACAAAGATATTCCTTTTGTAGAAAACACAACATCTGCGAGATATAATGTGACTTCCAGTGTAAAGGGCCACTTACGGTCTTCTGTCCGAATATGGATACCATGATAACATGATTTGTTGAACTGGTACAGACAGATGATGACATCTCTGTCACCTCTAGTCTTTTCTCACCCATGGATGTTGTTGCCAGCGTCTGTCGACCAACAAACTGAGCCGGTCCCATCCCATCCAGGAAGTCACTGAACTGTGCATCCGACGCCAAACACATGCCACTGTAGTTCAGGCTGCAGAGAGAGAAGGAGGAAGAGACAGACGGTTAACATGACCAGACAATTGACTCCAGTTAGCTAGAGAAGGTGAAAAGCCAAATTTAAAAACAGTCTGGATGAATAAGAAGATAAAAACAGGAAGTGTACAATTGTGTTAAACCCCGAAAATTTTAATTGGCTCCCCAAACCCAGACTGTTGGCTTCAGAGTTTGACCCCCTGTGTCCTTGTTTTGTGTGTGTGTAGGCATAGAAATCAGCGCTGAGTGCTTTGGTGGAAGATTGCCAGGGATACTACAACTGTTGTAGTGTGTGTGTGTGTGTGTGTGTGTGTATGTGTGTGTGTGTGTGTGTGTGTGTGTGTGTGTGTGTGTGTGTGTGTGTGTGTGTGTGTGTGTGTGTGTGTGTGTGTGGTGTGTGTGTGGTGTGTGTATGGTGTGTGTGTGTGTGTGTGTGTGTGTGTGTGTGTGTGTGTGTGTGTGTGTGTGTGTGTGTGTGTGGTGTGTGTGTGTGTGTGTGTGTGTGTGTTTTCAACGGAAGGACAAATCCACCCTGGCATGTTCTGTATATCGTCAATCTGTGATGCTCAACATGTATCTGAACAAAGATGGCACCCACTCTCGGTAGATTACTGTTTACATTTGGAGCTTTGCGTTCTGCTTAACAGGAACTTCTACCAAGGTTTACACTAGTTCAGCTCGTTAGACTTCCTTTCAGGGTGTGTGTGACGTGATGGATTAATTGGCATACACCATAGTTATACATGCAGTATACCTCACTTGTTCCTTTCACTTGTTGATTCTGTCTGTACTTGAAAGAAAGGGGGCGGGGACAGGTGAAAGTGATTGACACATTAAGGAGGCTGCTATACCAACTGCCCAAACTATGCTCATTATTTCAAATGTATTTAGCAAGTTCTGTATGCACATTCTGTGCCTTAAAATGAATCAGCTCTCATCTAGTGTGCAGAAAAGAGGAAACAGGTTAATGTGGAGTTGGATAACACGTAACGTCCAACAGCCAATGCCAATGCATTGTGTTCAAGTTTGGCCCCCAGCCCTAGAGAACACAAGGCTAATCAGCTTAAGTGTTCTCCATTGCTTGGGGTGCCTGGATGTTGTGACTTTAGATGTATGAAAATAACGTTATACAGCATTGTAGATGGGGCCCTGTTTATTCCACTAATGTTTTCCTTCAACAACAGCTTTTCAAGATGTCAGCACTCATTTACAGGAACGTAAGACAGAAAATTACCCTTGAATGGGCTAGTAGTGGATTTAATGACTTATGGAATTACGGGCCATTCAAGTGTTCATACTCGGAAATTGATTTAGCTTAAAACTAATATTTGCTATTAGTTTCAAAGCCCAGCGTTGATCCTAGGGGCTTGGTAGTAACATGTGCTCCACAAAAATGTCATAGTAGCTGTCAGTTGTTTGACTAAAGTCAATCATACAAACAACTGTTGAATAAACTGTGGAAATGTAGCAATCCAACTTCTGATGTTACTAACTGGCTGCTAGCAAGACAGCTGGCTGGCATAAGGCTGCTACTCGCTACACTTGCATTCTTTGTAGCTAGTGTAGCAGGATAAACTGTTCAGCCCCATTACCACACGGGGCAACCTTTATAAAGAGGGGTAAGTGTCGCTCTTCCACGTCGGGTTCCGATGACGTGCTTTCTGGCACCATTCCCCAAGAAGTGCGCCGGACTCTGAGGAAAATATTAGTTGTGGCCAAACGGCGGTACTACACTTCCGATAGGTTGCTGGTCCCGGAAACACTTTTTCCCATTGACTTACATGGGGAAAGAGACGTCTGTAAATTGTTGGATAGTTTTTTTATAGCCCTTATTAAAAAAGTTTGGTCCTCAAGTTGTAAAATGTGCTAATAACGTTATTCTGAGAGTTATTTCACTCTGCATTATGAACGTGAATCTAACCCACGGGACCACGCCGCCCGGCACGTTCATGTTATGTGTTCAGTACTACATGAGTTTTACCTTTACCCATGGATGCACAATAAGAACGGATCCATGTCGCCTTACTGCCAGGGAGCCCATGGAGCTGTAATAATGGATATATTGCACATGTTTACTGTAATTCATCATTTGTAAAATATGATACTACATGGGCTGTATGTTGTAAATCTTGTACCGTAAATGTTGTATTAAATAAAGTTAATATTACCGACGTAGATTAACGTTCCTGTAGCTTCTTATTGCACTTGCAATATACCATTAAAAGAGTTGAACGTAGCTGTTTGCTATTAGGCCAACTATATATTAAGTCGTCATATTTATACATATATCAATAAAGATATGTGTCAAAGCTCTAATCAAATTAACAGTTGTATTAATTTTAATTGTAGATATATATATATATGTATATTGCCTGTGTTGTATATGTATACACACGAATGAACAACCTTGTGTTTTTTCAAAAGTTTTACAAGTTGTATTGTAGTGTTTATTTTAGTGTTGTTTATTCTTATCCACATTTTGATTTCAGAGCACAGGACAGGAGAATCCTGGGCACAACATCACGCTCAACAGTGAAGCTGGCAATGCTGAACAAAACCAGTTATAATATTTATTCCGCTGAAAAAGTGAAAGCTTTAAGAAAATGTAATTAAAAATACATAAGCATTTCAGGTAGAAATTAGCATTTAGCATAGCATCAGGCTTCAACATATACATTTTTATATATTACCAAGTGGTTTCATGAACAACCCACACAAGTATCTATGCTAAATGAAAGCTCTGTTGCTTGGATATCACTAGATCCTGATGTCAGCGTAATATAAAAGTACATAACGATTGATGTGTAACTTAGCATTAATTTACTAGCTAG